CTAAGAGAAATAACTGTATCAACAGACCTTTGAGTCTGCAGCTGAGTGTAACTCTGAGTAGTACAGCAGAAACCAATTCAGTACAGTGACTTGGCTTACAGACTTATCTACTTTATAAATAGGCTTATTGGTTTAGTTAGTAATAGTTGGAGAGTGGTATTTTTGTAGTGTTGTATACACTTTGTTTTAGTGCAAGGATTATGATTTTTAACTTAATGGGTCTATTTTTAATGTTTTATTAGATGAATTTCACTAGATTCCACTCTGTTCTGTATATCTATATTTTGTTAGACTGCTTTCTAGCTCCAGCTGATGAGTTACTCTTGCATATAATTGCTGATCAGAACAAAATATAGTGTAATAAATGCTGTAAAATTACCCTCATCTCCATACCTTCTGAGATCCAGTTTATCTAATCTCTTCAGTGATGAGCAAGGTTTCTATAATATAGAAAGGAGCGTATGTTTTGTATAAAAAAAACCCTGCATGTATAAAAAAAATTAGTCTACTTTTTGTTCAAACTAAAAAGCATACCAGTGCTAACCTCTGGACTGAGACAAAGCATGCAGAATTTAAACCCAGAAGGAATTAATTTGACTAAATTATGAGCCTCTGAAAAAGGGACGTTGGAATGGTTGTTGGAACTCGGTAACTATCATGTGCACTATCCCCACCTGCTATGGTAGTTATGTTGTCTTACCATCTTTGGTTAGGTTGCTTGACTGAAAGAAAACCAACTATGATAATATTTCTTTTAAAGACCAAAATGATACCAGTGTAACAGCTGAAAAATGCTCTTGGTGGTTGGCATATGGGACCTTTGGTTTGATTCCTGTCCAGTATACATACTGGGGTCTATGTTTGCATGACTTATGGCAGATTTATAGCTGTTCTAATGTGATAGGCAGGTTACATGGTTGGAGGGATATTAGTGGTTAGTGAGGTTGAGAATTTGAGATCTAGAAGGAAGATCAGATGGAAAAAATTTCACTGTTGCTCTGAAAAATAAGAGATCAGCACTTTAAGATAATGCATATATTGTTTAAACTAAACTAGATTTCAGGAAGGTTTCAGTCTTTGACTGCACCACAAGGAAGAGCAAGGGGTGTGAAACTGTGAAAACTACTGTTCTTGTGCAGGGGGAATGTATAAATGTTCCTCTTCAAAGCATATATCAACTAATTGACTCAATGGAATCCTAGCAATGACCTTTATACAATATATTGTAAATCTTCACTGTCCATTTATTTTTTTATCCTTTATTACAAACTGAACTGGAAGGTAGACAATAGTACTTCTTCCAAAGTGCTGAACAAACATGATATAATTCGTCACCCCAACATTCCCTGCAAGGCAGGGATTAACGTTCCTTTATCAAACTTTTAATTGAATTATTGAGATGCCTAAGGGGCTAGCCCAGTGGCCAGCCACAGTAATGAGGATATTTCTGTGCTTCCTCTCCCGCCCCCCCCCCCCAAGGAAAAAAAAAGTGTGTACTAAACTCAGGTTAGCTAACTTGGGTTAAAATAGCAGTGAAGACATGGCAACTCATGTCATCAGTTCGAGTTCAACCCTAGGCTTTCCTTTAGGCTTTACCTCAAGTTGCCAGCGTGAGTTAAAGACTGAGTTGCTGTATCGTTGCTGCTATTTTTAATCCAAGTTACCTAACCCCTAGTTAAGAATACATCTTTTTATTTGCAGGGTAGATATACCCTGAGTGTGCTGACAGTACACGTTCATAGATTCTAAGGCCGGTGGTCTGAACAACTGTATAACTCAGGCTATAGAACTTCCTCAAAATAATTTGAACTAGAGCATATTTTTTACAATATTGTTTTAAAAATTGCCAGTGATGGGGAATCACTTGGTGATCCTTAGTAAATTATTCCAGTTGCTCATTACCCTCACTGGTAAAAATTTTACATCTTTTTTTCCATCTGAATTTGTTTATCTTCCATTTCCAGCAATTGGGTCTTGTTATATCTTTGTCTGCTAGACTGAAGAGCCCATTATTAAATATTTGTTACTCTTGTAGATACTTATAGACTCTGTTCAAGTCACCCCATAACGGTCTCTGGGTTAAACTAAACAGATTAAGCTCCTTGAAGATCATTCTTGTGGCTATTCTCTGAACCCTATTCAATTTATCAACGTCTTTCTTGAATTGTGGACACCAGACGCAGACCCAGTATTCTGCCAGCAGTTGCACCAGTGCCAAATAAAGAGGTAAAATAACCTCCCGGCTCCTATTTACTACTCCCTGTTTATGCATCCACGGATCACATTAGCCCTTTTGGCCACAGTGGTTGCACTGGGACAACGTGTTCAACTGATTACCACCCTGACCCCCCCCCCCCCCCGCCCCAAGTCCTTTTCAGAATCCCTGCTTCCCAAGAGAAGAGTCCCTTATCCTGTAAGTATGGCCTACATTCTTTGTTCCTAGATGTATGACTTTTTATATTTGGCTTTATTGAAACACGAAGTATTTGCTTGCACCAAATTTACCAGGCAATCCAGATTGCTCTGTGTCAGTGACCTGTTCTCTTAATTATTTGCCACTCCTCCAACTTTTTGTCATCTGCAAATATTATCAATTGATTTCATTTTTTCCCCAGATTATTGATAAAAATATTAAGTAGCAAAGTGCTAAGAATTGATCCCTGTGGGACCCCACTAGAAACATATTCTCTGATGATGATTCCTCACTCTCAAATAGCCAAATTTTAATTAAAAAACCTCCTCCTTATTGTCTTTATTGCTGGTGGCCATAGATTTCTCCATGTATCCTTTTGCTTCCCTTACTCATTTCTTACAATTCCTAGCTTCTTATAGTTGTGTTATAATTTTTTTTCTTGTTGCTTTCACTACTCCTCTAAGACAGGCTGTTTTTTTTAACCAGTGTGTCCTCCTTTCTCAATTGTGGCTTTTTGGATACTTAGTAAAATGTTCTTAAACAATTCCCAATTATAATTCATATTTTTCTGTTTAAATTCTTCCACCTGATTTGGCTCATAATTGTTTTCAGCTTTGAGAAATTGGCAGTTTTATAGCAGTGGGTGGGGGTGGGGGAGTGCGAGCGCACTGTGTAGTTGCAGCTGTGTTGGTCCCAGGATATCAGAGAGATGATGTGGGTGAGGTAATATCTTTTATTGGACCAACTTCTGTTGGTAAGAGAGACAAACTTTCAAGCCACACAGAGCTCGTCTTCAGAGTGTGTGTGTGTGTGTGTGTGTGTGTGTAAGTACTTATTTGGACTTCATACTGTTCACACATAACAAATTTGATCAAGTCATGATGACTTGTACCTAAGCTAGCACCAAATTTTAGTTTGAGGTCTCCTATAGAATTCTCCCATGTTGTATTCAACACTTCTTAAATTAGAAAATTGTCATTTGTAATTTCTAGAAATTCTGAAAACGTTTTAGTACTGGCAGCACAAGCCCTCCAGCTTATGTGACTCAGATTGAAGTCCTCGCGTGATCATGCAGCCTTTTTTCATAAACAGTATAGATAAGTGTTTAAGGGGCCGGTCATCCTGTTCCCTAGTGTGATTTGGTGGACTGTAGCAGACACCAACAAGTACCCCCTTATGTGCTTTTGCTATTAGGACATTGATCCATAAGCACTGAAAATAATTTTCTTCCAAGTCTTCACTGAGCTTGTGGTTATTTTCATTGACAGCAATGAGGGAGTAGTTGGACTTAATTCACCCAACATTTATGTGCCTTACTTGTTAGTGTAACTTTTATATAATTGATCACTGTTAATGGGGGTGGGGGAATCTTCCACTCTTTCAGAGCGTGATTACAGTTGCTCCGTATATTGGTAAATCTTGTCCAGAATAGGAAGTAATACTTGAAAGTGGATGCTATATAAATAAGTGAGTAGTTGTGCAGCTTCCCACACGCATACAGGCAGATGGCTCCAGCCATAGCATCATCAATGCAATTTAGCAGAACAGGGGAGCAGGATTTTGGGGACCACAACTGCACTCTATGGGCTTACTACAAACCAGGTGGTTGGGGCAGTGCACAGGACTTACCAGACTTTGGGAAGGGTCATAAACACCAGGTGGATCTGTCACAATATGCACACATTAGTCATTGCTCGCATGGAGTAGGGATGCAGTGGGGGGAGAGGTAACAGCAGCGTTATGTTTCTGTATCACGAAGCCTCTTATACCAAGGTTGGCTTCTTGGGTTTGATAGGAAACAGGGCTGTTATTGGTGATGAATGAGGTAGCAAAATGATGTGCCATGAAGGGGAAAACTCAATATATGACACCCGGTCTATGAATACATTTATAAAATCCAACCTTTAAATACCTAATAAAATATGTTGATTGGATTCTGTTTTTCCTTCCTCAGTTGGCTGAAAGTAGCCTGAAGAAAGAGAGGTTACAGCAAAACATTGAGAAATCAAAAATCGGACGCCAAGAGACTGTAAGTTTCTGTTCATTTTTTCATTAAAGAATCTGTCTGTGAGGATGTACAATCTGTAGATGTTAACATGTTACAGTTTTCTGTAAAATCATTGAAAATCTTAATAGAATGGCTAAATATTGGAAGAGAGGATGAGGGAGGGGGAAAATATCAGGCTTGCTAGACAGCCCTTTCCATCATTGCTGATGCACAGCTGATTTTGATCTGTGGTGAGTACCAGGTGGGTGTTTCACAGGGTGGGAAATTTTGTGATTGCTTGAGAGCTGCTCTTTATAAACCTGGATCAGACTGAAAACAAAACAAACAAACCCCCAAACTAAACTAATCATAGGTATGTGCTGAAATGCCCAGAGGTTGCTGAATGGCCAAATGAACCCAGCTATCTGTGAATTTAGGTGGTGGTTTAAAATTTGGATCTTGATTTTAATCTCGCTAAATTTAACAAAGATCCTTTCTGTGTTGAAACTGTTGAAGGAACACTGTCAAACGAAACTTAACATGCCTATGAAGTGGCATGTTAGGTGGAAATGTCTTTCATACAGTATCCTAGCTAAACTGAGCATTGGGGCAGGTAAATCTAGATTCTTACTGATCAGTAGTATATTTGAAGTAGATGATGTTCTTTGGAGGGACAGTATAGATCTGAAATATTTGAATTAGTTTTTGTACTTTGGAGATTGCTGCTGCCCTAAAATGATGTGAAACAGAGGTAAGGTTTTTGTTATAGAAACAATAATTCCATTAAAAAAACTGTCAAGAGAACATTAGTATTGCACAATCAAGTATCTAGGTATCAGAAAATGTGAAAGTTAAGAATTAATGTGTTATGATTACACAATCTTGAATTACATGACCGCATACTAGTTCTCAAATAACATCATACATTTTTTTTCTACACCCTACAATACATGTGTATAACTTTGTAATAGATTTTTGTTACTCTCACTAATTGGTCTACTGTATGGTACCGTTAGTGACATAAAATTATAACGTAAAGTCTCTTCTTTAAAATAGGCTATATTTTTAATTTTATTATTATTCAGTCAGTACTCTGATAAGTAATCAATTACTGTAGTAAGAAAGAGACTCTCTCAGAGAGATGCTATATCCACACACATTAAAGCAGTGGTTCTCAAACTTTTGTACTAGTGACCCCTTTTACATAGCAAGCCTCTGAGTGCAACCCTCCCTGCCCCATCAATTAAACACTTTTAAAATATATTTAACACCATTATAAATGCTGGAGGTAAAGTGGGGTTTGGGGTGGTGGCTGACAGCCCGCGACCGCCCATGTAATAACCTCATGACCCCCTGAGGGGTCCCAACCCCCAGTTTGAGAACCCCTGCATTAAAGTGTTTAGAATGGAAAAGTGTGGCTCTTTTAATATTGTGTTTTTATTTTAACTTTAAGCTAGAATTATCTTTCTCATTTACACTATTCTCAACTATCATAATAAAGTTCAAGTTCAATTCACAGAGTATTGCATTTAATTGATTCACTATATTTATATTTCTCCCTCACAAGTTCATCTAAACTGGAAACTGACTGTTTCACTGTTGATATACATGTGCTGGCATATTTTTAGTTGCTAAATAGTTATCAAGATTACATATAATAGTTTGTTTACAGTACAGTAAGGGCTCAGTGGAAGCAGTCAGGTACACTAAAGAAACAATTGCTAGTTATTGATTATGAATGATCATAACGTGTATAGGTAGTGTGGTGAGGATCTGAGATGTGGTCCCAATCCTTATTTACCCATGTGTATAACTAGGAACAAAGAACAGTTTGATTACTTAGAATAATTTTGATTTGTTTAACCACTTTGCCTTGATCTTGCATTCATTATGCACTGAAGACCCACTTTGAAACAGGGTATTTTGAATGTGCATAAAGTGCAGGATTGGTTTGCCTACCTTAAAATAGTAGGAAATGGAACATCTGATAGTTTGAGAGTAAAATGATATTTGCATTTTGCATAAATGTGTAGTAGTAGTATAATCATTGCCTATTTAATTTTCTTTACTGTTGGTTTCTCCCAAAATGTTCGGAACCCAGGCAGAACGTGCTGCCCTAACAAAGGAACTTGCTACTCTCCGGCAGAAAAAAGAGCACCTAAAGGCAGAAATAGACCAATACAAAGAATGTGATCCAGATGTTGTTGAAGAAATCCGTAAGTTGTATATTGTGTAGCTTTAATGTGTTAAAATTTCACAAAAAGAACCAAACACTGAAGGAAAAATGGTGCTTTTCAACAGGTCATAACTCACACACAGCTGAATGGATTTTCACGTGGGCACAAAAGGCAGACTTCCTCTGCCAAATTTCAAGTTGCTGCTGCAAACCAAAGAGTTGTAAAAGCTCTAAAAATTCTTCTGACATTTTATTTTATAATCAAGAGTGTTAAGTAACCTAAATAGAGGTTGCTACTGCTTCTATTCTATAATTTATAACTCATTACTGATAAACTGTTACAGACTGGGACATGGGCAGTCAGGCCTAGTAGTCGGAGCACGAGTTGGGAGCAAGGAAAGAGAGCGTGTGTGTGTGTGTGTGTGTGTGTGTGTGTGTGAGAGAACCAGAGCTGGAGGCCAGATACCAGAGCCAAAAGTCAAGCCAGAGTCAGGAATTGGAGCCAAAGTTCAGAACTGAGTCACCAGGAGTCAGAGAAGGCAGAAGGGCTGGGTCCAAGGCTGGGGCAGGGCAGGGGCAGGGCAGGAGAAGGAGCTAGTGCAGCTGTGGGCAAATGCTTTGAGTAGCTAGGGCCGTGCTGCTGGGCTTAAGAGCAGGTCTGTCAATTCCCTCAGCCATCTGGGTGGTTGGACTATGACGGGTGGTCAAACTACGGCCCGGGGGCCGCATCCGGCCCTTCAGATGTTCTAATCTGTCCCTTGAGCTCCCGCCGGGGAGCAGGGTCCGGGGCTTGCCCCGCTCTGGCACTCCAGCCGGGGAACGGGGTCAGGGGTTGGCCTCGCTCCGCACAACTCCCGGAAGCAGCGGCATTTCTCTCCTCCGGCTCCTACGCATAGGGGCAGCCAGGGAGTCTGCACGCTGCCCCCGTCCCAAGTGCGGCCCCCGCAGTTCCCATTGGCCGGGAACCACGGCCAATGGGAGCTGCAGGGGTGGCACCTGCGAATGGGGCAATTCGCAGAGTCGCCTGGCCATGCCTTTGTGTAGGAGGCAGAAGGGGGATATGCCGCTGCTTTCAGGAGCTGCTTGAGGTAAGCGTTGCCCAGAGCCTGCACCCCTGTCCTCTCCCGGGCCCCAACCCCCTGCCCCAGCCCCGATCTCTCTCCTGCCCTCCAAACCCCCCTCAGTCCCAGCCCAGAGCACCCTCCTGCACCCCCAACCCCTCACCCCCAGCCGGAGCCCTCACCCCCCCAACCCCAACCCCCTGCCCCAGCCTGGAGCCCCCTCCTGCATCCTGAACTCCTCATTTCTGGCCCCACCCCAGGGCCTGCACCCCCAGCTGGAGCCTCACCCCCTCCTATGCCCCAATCCCCAATTTCATGAGCATTCATGGCCTGCCATACAATTTCCATACCCAGATGTGGCCCTTGGGCCAAAAAGTTTGCCCACCCCTGGACTATGAGGAGGCTCAATTGGGGCCTAACTCTACTCTTTAGACTGTCTGGGGGTTATGCTAAAAGGGAAGCAGGCTAGCAATGGTCGGTTACTCCTGACACACGCTTGAAATCAAAGAGAGCTGAGGGTGTTCGCGGCACCTCAAGAACCGCTCAGCTCCTTGAAATAGTGGCCCCAAATAAGTGTGTGCATCAAATCTAATCTCTTTGCTCCTATTATTTACCGTGAAGACAATAAAGTCTAAAAACGGGGTTGGAGGGAATTATTTACGGCGTGAAGCACTAGATACGCACACACAAAAGCAACTGCAGCCATTTTCTGTCCAAGATTTTTTTATTCTTAAACCTTTTGATTAAAGGAAAATTTAATGTCAGACTATATTAATTCAACATTTATAGTTGATAATTGAAACAAAATTGAGGATATGTAGTTATGGTTCTCACAGCATCTGTATCTTGGTTACTCTGTGTGTGTGCATAGTATAGTTAATCTCAACAATAATTCTGTACAGGCTGAACACAAATGTTCACATTTGAGGGCAGGCTTTTAGAGGAAGGCCATCAACATTTCTGTTTAATCAGTGTTTTCTAGTATGCCTGAGTTTTTATAGTTTTAGCTTTGGAATGGTGAGCTGAAAGTATTTGGAGGCATTTTACTGTGAAGAAGCAGTTTGCAAACTGTTTATATAATCTTGTGAATATTTTAGCATGAGTAGTAGGAGTCAAACTTTTCCCTCCTTCTCTCTCCTCCAATATTATCTTAAATGATAGTCAAGAAATTAGGTTTGTTCATCAGTTATGTTGCTGATGGGCAAGATTTCTAGCTGGGACTGTCCAGATAGTTGTCATTCTGAGTCTGCATGCCTGTGGTTAAGGGTGAAGCCCTGCACATCTGCATATCCGCTGTATGTCCGCAGATGCAGATATCCCCTGATCATGTTTGCAGATCTGACGCAGATACAAATTTTGTATCTGTGCAGGGCTCTAGTTAAGGGCATGTGTCACTACCAATGCTAGGTTGGAGCTAGGTTACCTTTCCAAAATAATTAATTGCTTCTGCAGCTGTGTAAGGATAGCCAAAAACTATTTTGAACATAGTGGGGCAATGGACGCTTTATAATGAAATCTGGCCACATCCTGATGTAAAACAGGGTTTGTAATAGAAGGCAGAATGAGTTTTGTTAGCAGATAATAAATTTCCTCTTTTAAGCTACTGGTTCATGAGTCAGACCACTGGAAATAGGCACCATGGAAAGTCCAAGCTATAGTGTGGACTTCAAAGTATCTCCGGCTTTGTTTTTTCTAGTGGTGTTTTCAATATTTTAAGTTCTTCTTCGAGTGCTTGTTCACGTTGATTCCAATCAGGTATGCGCATGCCACGTGCATGGTCATCGGAAACTTTTTCCCTCAGCAGCTCCTGTCGGGTCGGCTAAGGAGCCCCTTGGAGTGGCGTGCTCAATATAGGACCCTGCCGACCTGACCCCCCCTTCAGTTCCCTCTTACCGTCCGTGCTGGCGTTGGAACTGCATTTCACTTGCTTGCAAGTGTTCCCTTAGCCTATTACCTAGTTTCTTGTTTTAGTAGTTAGTGTATTGTTGTTTGTAGTTACTATAGAAATTGTGGAATGGGATCATTCATTCATTCATTCGGGCGGTGCTGGACTCGGTTCAGGCAAGAGCGATACTATCAGAGTCCAGATTTCAAACACTGACCGGCATCATTTAGACTCTCAGACAATACCCCACCACAACCACAGGGACATGCCTCCGTCTCCTTGGACACATGGCGGCATGCACCTATGTGGTCAGGCATGCCAGGCTGAGGTCCAGACCTCTCCAGGCGTGGCTCGCCTCAGCTTATCACTCGGGTTTTGAAGGGATGCCCTTTGGACTTGGTAGTAACAGTGCCGGAGCGAGTCTTAGATACTCTATGCTGGTGGCTGACCCTCGCATGGTCTGCGAAGGAGTCCCATTCAGCACCCCTCAACCATCCATGACCTTTGTAACGGACACGTCAGACCTGGGTTGGGGGGCCCACCTAGGAGACCTACAGATTCGGGGCAGGTGGTCGCAGTCCGAGATCCCGCTCCACATCAATATAAAGGAGCTCAGAGCAGTGAAACTAGCCTGCCAGACCTTCCAGACCAGAATACAGGTTCAGTGTGTGGCAGTGCTGACTGACAACACCATTGCCATGTTTTACATAAACAAGCAGGGGGGAGCCCACTCTTCCCCTCTCTGTTAGGAGGCTCTCCAGCTGTGGGATTTTTGTATAGCCCACTCATGACGCCTCCAGGTGAATGATCTCCCTGGAATATGGAACGAGCTTGCGGACCACCTCAGCAGGTCGTTCCGCAGTCACAAGTGGTCCATCCGTCCGGACGTCATACATTCCATTTTCCAAAGGTGGGGGTTTCCTTGGGTAGACCTATTCGCCACCAGGAGCAACAGGAAGTGTCCATTTTGCTCCTTTCAAACACACAGTCCGGGCTCTATCTCAGACGTGTTCTTGCTCCCCTGGGGGGACCATCTAATGTATGCCTTCCCGCCGATACCACTCGTCCACAAGGTACTGCTCAAGATCCGCAGAGACCAGGCAGAGGTAATTCTGCTGGCCCCTGCGTGGCCACGCCAACATTGGTACACCACTCTTCTGGAGCTGTCAGTGGACACCCCGATTGCACTGCTGCTCCACTCCGCTCTGATCACACAGAACCACGGTCGCCTCCTTCACCTGGACCTCCAGTCCCTCCATCTCATGGCTTGGAAGCTGCATGGTTAAACCCAATGGAGCTCCAAGGCACGGAATCTGTGGGGGAGGTGCTGCTTGGTAGCAGGAAATCTTCCACCAGGGCCATTTACCTAGCTAAGTAGAAAAGGTTCTCATGCTGGTGTGAGCAGAGTCTTATACCTCTACTTCAGGCATCTATACCGTTCATCCTGGAGTATCTACTGCATCTGAAGCAGCAAGGTTTGACTGGATCATCCATCAGAGTACACCTCGTGGCCATCTTGGTGTTCCACCCAGGAGAGCTGGGGCTCTCGGTATTCACCAACCCTATGGTGGGCCATTTCCTGAAAGGCATGGAAAGGCTATATCCACAGTCCCGACTGCCAGTACCTGCTTGAGAGCTCAATCTGGTCCTCGCTAGACTAATGGGGGCCCCATTCGAACCATGGGCTACGTGCTCCCTTCTGTATCTCCGTGGAAGGTGGCATTCCTAGTTGCCATCACATCAGCCAGGAAGGTGTCAGAGTTAAAAGCGTTAACCTCCGACTCCCCCCACATAGTCTTCCATAAGGACAAAGTACAGCCCAGGCTGTAACCGGCCTTCCTGCCAAAGGTGGTATTCCCAATTCCACATTGGCCAGGACACTTTTCTACCAGTCTTCTATCCCAAGCCACATGCTAATGCACAGGAGCAGAGGCTTCACTCGCTAGATGTGCAGAGAGCGTTAGCACTCTACATTGAGCACACAAACCCTTTCAGGAAGTCGAACTAACTGTTTGTACCAGTGACAGACTGGATGAAGGGGCTTCCAGTCTCCTGCCAACTCATTTCTTCCTGGATCACGGACTGTATCCGTAC